TTTAAGTTAAATTTATATAATATAAGGTAATGAATGGTCCAATTTCATTCATTTACATGTGGATATCCAGTTTTCCCAACACTATTTGTTAGAAAGATTGTTGTTTCTCCATTAAAAAAAATTTGGGGGGGGGGGCCAGGGATTTAGCTCAGTGGTTTCACCGCCTGCTGTGCAAGCATAAGGACCGGAGTTCGATCCCCAGTACCAAAAAAAAAAAATTATTTTTGAGACAGACTCTCACTGTGCAGCTCAGGCAGGCCTCGAATTCCTGAAGATCTTCCTATCTCAGCCTCCTGAACAATGGGGTAACAAACAGGTCCTCCCACACCCAGCATGTGCCATTTCCTCATTGAATGTTCCTGATATTCTTGCCCAAAATCATTTGAACACATATGCAAGGGTTTATTGTTGACCTCTCTATTCTATTTCATTAGTCTATGTCTTTGTGTTAGTACCCCATTGTTTTGATTCTGTACCTTTAACAGATTTGAAATCAGGAAGTTAGAAATTTCCAACTTTGCTCTTTTTCAAAATTGTTTCATTTATTTGGGATTTCTTTATATTTCTTGTGAATTTTAGGGTGGACTTTTCCTTCTTTTTTTTCTTTTCTCTCTCTCTCTCTCTCTCTCTCTGTATCTCTCTCTCATTTATTTTTGATTGAGACGGGCTGCATTGAATTCACCATGTAGCCCAGGCTGGCCTTGAACTTGCTATGTAGCCCAAGTTGGTCTTTAACTCCTGATCCTCCTGCCTCAGCCTCCTGAGTGTTGGGATTACACATGTGTACGACTATACCTGGCTAGGATGGCTTTTTCTATTTCTTTCTTTTTTTTTTTTTTTTTTGGTACCAGGAATCAAACTCAGGACCTTGCACTTGCCAGGCAGATGCTGTGCTGCTGAGCTACATCCCCGGCCCTGATTTTTCTATTTCTGCAAAAAATGCCATTGGGATTTTGAGTGGGATTGCATTAAATCTGTAGATTGATTTGGGTAGTTTTGATAACAATATTAAAGCTTCCATACTATGAAGATAGTGTATCTTTCTACTTGTGTCTTGTTTAAGTTTTTTCCAGTAACATTTTATAGTGAAAACTATGTGTGCAAGTCTATCATGAGTTTGATTGAGTTTATTAAGAAATATTCTTTTTTATGTTATTGTAAATAGAATTGTTTCCTTAATTTTTTTTTCAGATTGTTAAATGTTAGTGCACAGGACAGCACTGATTTTTTTTTCTATATCCTTTTATTGGTACATTTTAGGTGTACAATATAATGACATTCATCATTGGAGATACACACCTTTACATACTCTCTTGGTTCTTATTTTTTCCCTGTTCCTTCAACCCCTCCATCCCTCCCTATTTACAAAGACTTTGTTTCCATTTTTTCATTTTCTCATATCAATTCCATTCCCTTCTTTCCTTTCCCCTACCTCTCCCACTTCCCCTTCCCCTTTGCCCCTTTTCTTCCTATTTCACATTATCTATTATACCTTTTAGTCCTTATATACACTTTCAGTTTCTCACCCTAGAGAAACTATTTGGTATTTACACGTGTGAGGATAGCACTGATTTTTATGTGTCAATTTTATACCTTTCAACGATGCTGAATTCATTTATTAGTTCCAACAACTTTTAGTGTATGTAACTTTTTTTTGAGGTGCTGGGGATTGAACCCAGGATCTTTGCACTGAGCTACAACTCCACATCTCCCTCGCTTTAAATTCTGAGAAAGGATCTTGCTAAATTGCTAAGTTTTCCAGACTGGGCTCAAACTTGACTCTCTTGCCTCATCCAGATTGCTGGGATTACAGGTGTTCACCACCATATCTGACATGTATGTAATCTGTAAGGTTTTCTACATATAAGATCATGTTATCTGTGTACACAGATAATTTTCCTCCTTTCCAATTTGGATGCCTTTTATTTTTTCTTGCTAATTGCTGTATCTAGAACTTATAATAGTAGCTTGAGTAGGAGTGGTAAAAGTAGACCTTACTCTAGTTTTCAGTATTTCACCATTGGTTATGATATTACCTATGAACTTCATATATATGGCCTTTAGTATGTGGAGGAAGTTTCTTTCTATTCCTACTTTGTTGCATTTTTATTATGAAGGGTGTTAACTTCTTTTGTTTTTTTTTGTTTTTTTGAGACAGGGTCTGGCCTTGAACTCACTATGTAGCCCAGGCTGCCCTTGAACTCAGGACAATTCCCCTGCCTCAGCCTCCTGAGTGCTGGGATTATAGGCACGTGCCCCCACACCTGGCTTATATGTTTTAACTTTGGTCAGGTGTTTTCCTGTATCAATTGAGATAATAATTTTGTTAATTTGGTGTATTATATTGATTTATTTACATAGCCAGCCTTGCATTCCAGGAACAACTATCCTTTTTATATGCTGTTGAATTCTGTTTGCTAGTGTTTTGTTGAGGTTTTAATTTTTTTTGGATAAGCAGTTGTGAGGGATGTTGATCTGTAGTTGTCTTGTAGTGCCTTGGCCTGGCTTTGCTATTAAGATAATACTGGCCTCAAAAAATGAGGGAAGTGTTTGTTCCTCTTCAGTTGTTTTTGGAGAATTTATGATAAGTTGGTAGTATTTTTTCCTTGATCATCAAGCTCTGTGTTTACCTGTAATGATGTTCATTATGTGGCTCAAAATTTTGTCTCTACTCTCTTGTGTTCCTGACTTAAATTATTGCTGCAACTGTGATTGGAGTATTCCCATCACTTAATATCTGAATACTCTTTTTGCATGATGATTTGATTTATAAAATCTATACGTGACTTATATTATAAGGAGAGCAGAGATAATTTGATTTATCTGAAATAAAAATTAAATAGTAATTGATAAAGTTGGAAAGGGTAGACCAGTGGTTCATAAATCTGTCACTTACTGGGATTTCTTAAAATGATATTCATAAACTACACTCAGACTTTTAAAAAAATTAACGTACATGAAAATAATTTATGATAGTATGCATTTTAATGTATAAGTCCCAGGTCAAACTTCACTAGAAGTAGAGACTTACATCTATAATAAATGTGAAAGCTACAAATATAGGCTGATAAAAATCCAACTTTGGCCGGTCATGGTTATGCATGCCTGTAATCCTGGCACTTGGGAGGCCGAGACACGAGGATTAATGAGTTTAAGGCCAGCCTGGGCTACACAGTGAGTACAAGACCAGCCTGAACTACATAGCAAGACCTTGTCTCAAAAACAAACAAAATATCCAACTTTGTTGTATCAACACTAAATACTATCAAGACTAATGTACTGTCTATTATTTTTAAAGGAGTTTGAGCAGGGCATGGTGTCATGCACCTGTAATCCTAGCGCTTGGGAGGCTGAGGCAAGAGTAAGCCATTAATTTGAGGCCAGCCTGGGCTACCTAGTGAGTTTAGGCCAGCCTGAACTACATGGTGAGACTTTGTTTCAAAAAAACAAAAACAAAACAAAACCAAAAAAAGAGGAAAAAAAGGAGTTTAGTTCTAGGCTTGGACAAATTTTTTTTGTTGTTTTTTCTTTTTCTGATGCTGGAGCCAGATCCCAGGGCCCTGTGTATGCTAAGCACACACTCTACTACTGAGCTATGTAAATAGATTTTTCACCTACATGAATGTCCTATGGGACATTCAAATTTCAATAGAATGTGGGACAATTTTTCATTGTGTGGGACTGTCCATTGTTCTATTGAATGGGCTAGCATCCCTTAGTACCTTTTACTAAATGCCAGTAGTACATTCTTCCAATCATTGTGACAATCAAAAGTGGTTCCACAGGGGCCGGGGATTTAGCTCAGTGGTTCCGGCACCTGCCGTGCAAGCGCAAGGTCCCGAGTTTGATCCCTGGTACCAAAAACAAAACAAAACAAACAAAAAAAACCCCAAACCAAAAAACATCTATGTTTGAGGAATATTCTGGTAACTACTTTTCCTTCAGGTCTGAGGGCTAAGTAAAAAAAGAAACAACTTGCATTTTTTTTCTTTTTTCTTTCTTATTTTTTGGAGCTAAAATGAGGTTTAGCAGCGTCATTTTACGGATGAGGCAGAGAAAGTTTATAATGCTAGGAACTAAAAGTCTTAATGTGCCGCGGGCCAGAGCCTGGAGACGGCCTTTCACCTAATCCTTACTCCCTTTCTCCTCCATAGATTAGAGAGTTAAACAGTCTGTTTGACTAAGATTGTAGATGTTGGATGGCGCAGACCCAAGAGACAGTTACATTATGTAGCGTTGTTCCTTTTCTGCGCATGCCCCATCACGAGAAAATCACATTCAGTCTAGGCCACGTGGGCCTCATGGCACTAGTAACCCCACCTTCCTATACTGTAAATAGTGCGCTGGATGCCAGGCGGCCATTAGCTCATCAGGCTATGGTCCCATCTGGTCCCAGCTATAAAGCTTAATCTTGGTATGTATCTTTCTTTCTTATTATTTTCCAATCTTTCTTCATCTCCCACTACTCTCCTTGGCTCGGACCCTACACTGTGCAAGTCGCGGCATTAATGAAAGAGTTAATGAAAATTAATGAAAGTTAAAGTTAGAATACAAGTATAACTTCACAACCAATGCATTTTCCATTATATCATAGCATGGCTGGGATGATGAAAACAGAAAAAAAATTTTCATTGTGCAGTGCTGAGGATTAAACCCAGGGCCTTGAGCATGCTGGGCAAGCAATTTACCGTTTAGCTATATTCCCAGCCCTTTTAAAATTATGATATAGAGAAGAATTTTTTTTTTTTTTGGTACCAGGGATTGAACTTGGTCCTTGCGCTTGCCAGGCAGGTGGCAGAACCACTGAGCTAAATCCCCGGCCCTAGAAGAATTTTTTTTTAAAGAGGGCAAATCTGAGACCCACCATAAAGCCAAAATTATCAAGACTTTAATTAGACAGCTTCACATTAACTGCTATTGACATTCTGGGAAGACAGGTGACCAAAGCTTATTTTCAAACTAAGAATTTATTAATATGTTGCTCCTTCTTATACTTTTAGGATGTTAATATGCAGCTGAATGACATAATGAACAATGTGCATCGAATACTCGTTATACTGCTATTGATCTTAACTCATCTTCTGAAAGAAAGAGCTCCTATACAGAATCTAAGAAAACACAGAGAAATCTTTTACTGGAGAAAGTAACTGCTTATGCTAAGGCTGCTGATCTTAGAGAAAAGACTCTTGGCTACATTCTGGCTTGGTTGGAAGAATGGAGTAAGTTTCCATAAGTGATTCAGAGGAAAACTACAAGGTTAATAAAAAATGATAGAGAAAAATGATAAAGAAGAGAAATGTATAGGTAAAATCTGAAGGATTGATCAGCCTAAAGAAGGAAAGACTAAAGAGGTTATTCAGAGAATAGCTGTCCTCTGTTCCAGTAAGAACAAAACAAAACAAAACAAAAAATACAAGCTTATTCACTTAGTGCCATTCTAGTGCCCTTACTTTTCTTCAGTCAGGCCTGTATGGCCAGTGCCCCTAGGCTTGGTATTCCCTTCCCTAGAGCATTTTCCACCAAAGAGCCCACATGGCTCCTTCCCTGCTTAACTCCTAGTTGAAAGTGAGGTGTTCTCTGATACCTCCCCATTCCCTCCCACCAGCCATTCTCTACTGCCTTTTACCCTTCTTAAATTTTGTCTATATGATCAGTATCTGACATACTATATAGTTGACTTTTCTTGTTTTCCTTTTATTTTCATTTTTATTTTTGTCTGTCTCCTTTCTATTAGAAGGTAAGTAGTATGAAGTCAGGGAACTTACTTTATTTAATGCCATATCTACAACATCTAGAATTGTACAAGACAGAGTCAAAATTGATGGAATTAAAGAATGTATAAGCTAAGAATACAGGAAAAAAGGAATTTCATTTTATTGCAAGAAGTAATGTACTCATTTTAAGATACCGATTTTTCTCTGCGGTAGGAAAATAAACCAAATAGATATTTTTAACCTGATTCATATTTTCATGTACTGCTTAGCCTTTCAGTCCAACTCTTTTCCTTTATAATTTCTTCACAAAGAAAAGACTCAGAATATCAGAGTAACAATTAGTTCAAGATAACTATATTCTCCAATAGTACTATATTAAATAATTGCCCAATGTTGTAAGCCTATATTATAATTTATTTTTCTCCACACAAATAATTTTTTTATTCTCTTCAAGATGCCATTTTGTCTGAAATAGCTGTAATTGATGTTGATGAACACCACCACTGGATAGCACAAATGGAGATGTTTCCAGACATGTTAAAAGCTATTAACAACAATGTCAAGATACTGTGTAAAATTAGTAGATCTTTCCTTAATAATAAGAAGAAACAAAAGAAAAAAATCTGTAAGAATGCTTTATGAATTCGAAATAGAGTTTGACTTTTTCTAAAAATATAGCTTTATTCCTTCATATTAAGTACACAGATGTTTTCAATAAACTTACATAGTTGTGCAATGATTACCACAATCCAATTTTAGAGCATTTCCATTTTTTCCAAAAAGATCTTTTGTGCTCATTTGCAATCTGTCTTCATTCTCACTGCCTCAGACCACCACTGACCTATTTTGTGTGATATATTTGCATTTTCAAGATACTTCATACAAATAGAATCATATTATATGTTGTTCTTTTATGTCTGCCCTTTTTTTTTTCTGTACTGGGAATCAAACTCAGGGCCTTGCACTTGCCAGGCAGGCATGGTGCTGCTGAGCTATATCCTGGCCCTCAAGTCTGCCCTGTTTAAATGAGCATAATGCTTTTGCGTTTTAGCCATGTTGAAGCATGTATGATAGTCTCTTTCTTTCTATTGCTGATTATAAATGGTTGGATATGTCACATTTTGTTGGCCCCTTTACCAGTTGATGGACATTTGGATTATTTCTAGCTTTTGGCTTTCATGAATAATGTTCTTTTTGTTTTGTTTTGAGATAGGGTTTCACTGTGTAGTTCATGCTGGCCTTGAACTCACTATGTGTCCCAAGCTGTCCTCAAACTTGTGGTGATCCTTCTGCCTTAGCCTCCCAAGAGCTGGGATTGCAGGTGTGTGCCACCATGCCCAGCTAATAAAGTTGTTATAAACACACATTTTCATTTATTTTGTGTACACAGCTGAGGAGTAGAATTGCTCAATCATATGGTAAATTCAACTGTTTTCCAAAGTGACTGCACTATAATATATTCCCACCAGTAATGTATAGGGTTCCAGCTTCTCCACATCCTCAACACTTGCTATTTTTTGTCTGTTTTTAAAATTATAGACATTCTAGTAGTAAGTGTAAAGTGATATCATTTGTGATTTTAGTTTGCATTTCCCTAGTAATTTTGTTTGTTTTGTTTTTTCGTGGTACTGGGAGTTAAACACACGGCCTTCACACTGAACTACATCTCCAGTATCTGTCTTTCTTTCTTTCTTTCTTTTTTCCTGGTACCAGCGATAAAACTCAGGACTTTGCACTTGCAAGGCAAGCATGGCTCCACTGAGCTAAATCCCTGGCCCTCCGGTATCTTTCTTTATTTCTTCAGTATTTTAAGACAGGATCTCACTAAGTTACTATGTTGCCCACACTGAGCTCAAACTTGTGACCCTCATGCGTCTCTCTCCCACAGTGCTGGGATTATTGATGTGTGGTACTACTCCTGGCTGGTGTCATTTCCTTTTGACCTGAAGGACTTCTTTGATCTTTCTTATAAGGCAAATCTGTTAGCAAAATGTATTCTCAGTCTTTACCTAGGAATGTCTTTATTTCATCTTCACTTTTAAATAGACTAATTTTTAGAGCAGTTTTAGGTTTTGAGAAAATAGAGTTCAGATAAATCTCTCCACGTCCCCCTCTTATTCATACCTTACATTGGCATATATACTTGTTATAAGAATATGTTTTCTTTTGAAGCACTAGGAACTAAACCCACAGCCCTATGCATGCTAGGCAAGCATTCTACCACTGAGCAACATCCCCATCCCTTTTCATTTTGAAACAGAATCTTACCAAGTTGCCCAGACTGGCCTTGAACTTGTGATTCTCCTGACTCAGCCTTCTGAATAGCTGGGGTTACAGATGTGCACCACCTAACCATGCTCCCATAATTTGTATTAATAAATCAATATTGAAACATTATTAACTAAATTCCATAATTCAGAATTTCTTATTTTTGATCTTTTCATGTTTCAGATGATTACCTTTATTTGTCATGTCTGCTTAGCTTTGTTTTTTCCAGTGGGGATTGAACCCAGGACCCAAGGCCTTTACACTGAGCTATAACCCCAGCTCTTTTTAAAATTTTAAAATTTTGAAATAGGATCTCTAAATTGCCCAGGCTGGACGAGAACTTCTGATTCTTCTGCCTCAGCCTCCCAGATTGCTGGGATTACAGGTGTGCACCATCATGCCCAGCTGTTTAGCTTCATTTGACTGTGACGGTTTCTCAGAGTTTTCCTTGTGTTTGGTGTCCTTGGCAGTTTTCAGGATCCCCTTTATTGGAATTTGGTTTTTTCATGGCTAGCCTGGGATTGAGAGTTTTAGATGGGGACAGAGGTAAAATGCTGTTTTCATCACCGTGCCACATCAAAGGTAGGTACTATCAAAGGGTTTATGATTTGATGTTGACCTTGATGCCTGGCTAAGGGGTCAGATTTCTCCGCTCTGAAGTTTCATACTGTCATCTTTAGAGGGAAGCCCGTGTGTGAAGCCCACCCCTAAGGAATGGGAAGCCCTGCCGCCACTCTTTTTTTCACTCTTTTTTTTTTTTTTGGTACTGGGGTCGAGCTCACAACCTTGTGCTCGCGAGGTAGGTGAGGTGCCACTGAGCTACATCCCCAGCCCCAGCTGCCGTTCTCTCGGCTGCGGTGTCTACGTACGTTATTTGAAGTCCTCACACGTGGGGTTGTCTCTTCTCTCTCCCTAATTTACTCAGTATCTGAGTATGTAAAAACGGACTCGTGCCTATCTCACACGCTGGGCTCCAACCCAGTGCGTCTCTAGTTTCTTGCTCAGGTGTCTCGGCTTTGGTCCTTGAGTGTTCTTTCTGAACCTGCGCCCCTTTGACAAACCCTATCCATGTTAGTTTAGGGTTTGCTTTCTTGCTTTAGTACTTTCTTACTTTCCACAAGATAAATATTTTAGATTTATCTTGTGTTTTCTGCCCCAGTTCCAGAACCAACTATTTCTCTAAGGAGTTCTGGTTCCTTTTACTGAAAAAATCAAGATCTAGGTGCTTAGTGAACTCATTGTTTACAGGGGTTTCATTTCTTTTAGCCTCTCTCAGCTGAAAGAAAAATATGTGTGCAATGGCCCCCTGAATATAAAGATATCTATTAATATTTTTGTATATAACCATCTGCAACTAATAGCTAAATATAAGTGCTGTGTATACTACCGGGGTTAGTGGTGCATGCCTATTAATTCCAGTACTAAGGAAGGCTGAGGTAGGAGGATTGCAAGTTCAAGTCTTGCCTGGGCAATTTAGCAAGGCTGGTTCTCAAAATAAAAAATAAAATAAAAGGGGCTGAGGATATACCCTAGCTGGGTCCAATCCCCAGTTCCACCAAAACAAGCAAACAAATAAACATTTTTATTGATGTCTCCAGCTCTAATCCACATGGATCATTCTACCATAGTTTCCTTCCTTTGCTTATTTGTAAATTTCCAAATAGTGTTTAGGTTTAGATATTAAATGTCCCCTAAAAGTTTAGGTGTTGAAGGCTGGGGCCCCAGCTGATGGCACTACTGGAAGGTGGTAGAAACTTTAGGAGGTGGGGCCCAGTTGAAGGAAGTGGGTCATTGGGGGTGTGCCCTTGATAGGATATTAGAACTTGGGCTCCCTTTCCTCTGTCTGCTAACTGGCCTCCATGAGGTTAGCAGCTTCGTTTGTTTTTTCTTTTGAAATCTTTTTTCTGATAAGCCCAGCAGCACCCGGGCCCTCTCACAGACAATTTCTATTGACTGCTTTCCCCTCCCATTTATACAAGTCACATTTTCTTGCTTCTTTGCATGTTTCTTTTATGTTGACACTAGATGCCTTAGATACTACATATATTGTAGCAACTCTAGGTTCTGATCCTCTTTATCCCTCTAGGATTTGTTTTTGTTGCCTTTGTTTTTCAGTGCCTGGGCTAATTCAGTGGAGTCTGTCTCTCCCATGGTGTGAAGCCACTAATCTCTCTGCTCAGTTTTTCTTTTTTTCTTTCCAGGGTCATTCTTGGATCTGTATAATTTAAACTTTGTTTTCGGTACCGGGGATCGAACTCAGGACCTTGCGCTTGTGAGGCAGGCAGCGGCACCACTGAACTAAATCCCCGGTGGATCTGTAAAATTTAATAATCACTCAGTGCTTAGCCAATCAGTAATTCAGTAAGGCTTCCACTTACAAATCATTCTGTGTGTGGGTTAAGGATTTTTTTTTCCTGTACCAAGGATTAAACCTAGGGGGACTCTACCACTGAGCGATATCTTCACCTCTTACTATTTTTTATTTTAAGACAAGGTCTCCCTAAATTGCCCAGGCTGACCTCAAACTTGCCATCCTCCTGCCTTAGCCTCTACTACATGTGTGCCCCACCACCTTGCTGGCTTACCTCTAGATCAAGTCATCCCCCCTCAGGCAGCGCAATTGTTAATGTCCACATCTTGCCTCACTCTGGTACAACTTCAGGCTGTGGATCTTACAATTGGGTAAGGATGTTGGGGACAGAAACAGGTGCAAGTTTTTAGACTTCCAGTGTTTTTTTTACTGAGGCTTAGTAATTTTTTTGGACTAACGCTTCTCAATTTGTTGTATGCCTTTAGTCAATTTCCAAAGTCCTGGTTGAGTATTGTCTAGTTTTATTATTGCTTTTAGGGGAAATTTTTTTACTGAGTTTCTCACTCAGCCATTCTGGAAATCCCTTCAGGTATTCATCTTCTGTTTATTGATTTATGGCCCTTTTGAAAGAACCAAAATTATCTTTGATTCTGAAAAGACAGGGAGACAGAAACCCATGAAAGAAAATGGAAAGCACTAAGAATAATCAAAGCCAGAGGAAAGTTTTGGCTTACATTTTATCTAATCCCAAATTTATAACTGAGAGTAAGTTGAGGTAATAGCTGAGTTATTTTCCTAAACCCTTGAAGTAGATGATCTAGGTCATTACGGGAAAAGAATCATTCTTCCTAAAATAATAGTGTTTATTTGGGGGCTAAAGATTTCTGATGGCTGGGGATTTAGCTCAGTGGTTTTGCAGCCTGCTGCGCAAGCGCAAGGACCGGAGTTCAATCCCTGGTACCAAAAGAAAAAAAGATTTCTGATGAATCTTTATCCTAATTTAGGATAAATTATTTAGATTTAAACATAGAACACAACACAAAAGAAGAAATACAATTTCATTGTTTTTATGTTTTTTCTTCCAGTAACTAGAGGTACTCTGTGGAAATCTTGGAAAGAAAGAGCTATAAAGCAACCTGCAACAACCCATGCTTTAAGACCAGATCAGATGATTAGTGATCAATTTGCAACAAATACAAAGGTTTCAGAAATTCAAGATATGCTACAGGAACTTATAGGCACAGAAATGTTCAACAAATTGGAAAATAATGCTATTAAATACATATCATCAACAATAATAAACTTTTCTAAAGCCTTGAATACACTAAATGATGAATTAAAAATTGTTAACTTCCAAAATATCAGTATGTATGTAGATGAAGCAAGAGAAGAAGAAAAAGATCTCTCCCTGAAGATAATCCAAGATCTCAGTGAACAAAATGAAATGCTTACTCAGAGACTTAAAGATGTAGAAGAAAAATGTGAACAACTTATTCGATCCAAAGTTGTTTCAGGACACCGAGCATACATATCATCACCCACATTCTCAACCTTGAAAGTACCACCTGGACTTTCTCCACAGTCGTCCATGACCACAGAGGACACTATGGACAGTATTTTAACCAAAGAATTTGAAAATATTATAGATGAATCCCAAAGAAAAGGGACCAAAGGCACTGGGATAAAGTGGGATTCAGCTATTTCATATACAGCTCAAGTTGAAATGATTCCAAATTTAACTGAACAGCAACATATTTTACCTGAAAAAAAGTGGAAAATTCCTTCTCAAGATATTGCTAGAGATAACATATCACTGAAGAAAGATGATAATGATCAAAAAGATGGGACTGGTGGGTATTCATCACAAAACAGAAAGCTCACAAAAGACCCACATCCACATGAGATCTCTGAATCAAATCTGAGTATTAGTAGAGATGAACAAAAAGCCTCAGAGGCCAAACCTAGTCAATACTCTGAGTTACAAGCCCAGGAAAAGAAGAGAAAATGAAGAAAATCATCTTCCGAAGCCAAATCAAAGTCATCTACTGAATCAAAAAGCCAACATATCTCTTCTATGGAAACAAAAAGCCAAGATCAGAAAAGTGGACAAAGTATGTGGGAACAACTCAGGAAGTTCAAGCCTGAATATTCACTTAGAAAAGGCCCAATTCCATCAGAAACTAAAGTAGAACCCACCACTAAGTCAATGGACAAAGACATCAAAAGTGAACTGAGTATCCAAACAGAGCCATTCAGGATGATCAAGCCTGGTTTCACCTCTGAGCCCCAGAAAGTTGAAATGAAAGGAAAGCAAAACCGAATCTTTTTGGGAACTACCACAAGCAAAGAAGAAAAAACTGAAGAGAAAGAAATGTTATTCTTCACCAAACAAGCCCAGTCTTGGCAACTTGCTAAATTACAGTCAAAGACCACTAAAGAGACTACAGATGGCAAAAGTGAACAGAGTACCTAGAATTATTTCAAAAAGCTATACTGGCTTTCCTAAAAGAAAAAATTGACAACACAGGAAAGCCTTTTGATAAAAAGAGTGTGTTGAAGGAAGAAGAGTTACTTATGAAAGCAGAAGGTGAAAAATTGGGAGTTATAAGGGCAAAAATGGAGGAATATTTCCAAAGAGTGGCTGAAACTGTTACTAAAATCTTGAGAAAATACAAAGATATAAAAATGGAAGGACAAGTTGGAGAGAAGCCTATAAAGCAAAAACAAGGAGTCTCATTTATGCCAGGATTGCATTATCAGGCGTCATCAATTAATGAAAAGCCTGAAATTAGCTTCTTCCTCTCAAATGAGAGCACAGACCCAATAATTAACAATTTAATACAAATGATCGTGGCTGAAATGGAAAGTGAAAGAGATGTTCCAAAAGTTTTGATAATAGGAAAAAGCCACAAGGAGAAAGGAAAAAAGGAGCAGGAGAAAGGAAAAAAGGAGCAGGAGAAATATTTGCAAGAAGGTCAAGAACAGACATCTGGTATGGATCTCAGATATCATCAACGAGAAGTAAAAAAATCTCTGGAAGGAGAGCTATACGATGATAAAGGATTTGGAGGAGAATAAGACATTGCTCCAGATGAAGGAGGGAAAGCATGGGCAACAGGAGCAGAAACAGTGGCAAGAAGAAGAGGTGTGGAAGGAACAGCAGATTCAGCAGGATAAGAAACAAAAACAATGGGAAAGTGAGAGAGAAGAGCAGCAGAAGCCAAAGCAGCAACAGCAGCTGGAACCATGGAAGCAAAAGATAAAAGAACAAGAAGTGCCCTTGGAAGAGAAGGATAGAGAAATGATCCAACAGGTTCAGAAGAAAATGAGGCATCAGGACCTGAAAATGAGTAGGGAAAAAGATGAGGAGAAGCAGAAGTTGAGCAGAGTGATAGAGGACCTCAAAAGGCAGAGGCAGAACACAGCAAAGTATCAGATGAAGAAAGAATCTGAAGACCTAGCAAAAATGATCAAGCAAAGTCCAATGATATTATCTCTAAGGGGGAAGAGCACATTGAAAAATAAAACCCAGTTATACCAAGGAAAAAAGATCCAAAGGAATCTTAAGACATTACAAAGTCTTCCAGATGGAAAGCACCCCATACCAGTCACTCCCCCCACCTCCACCCAATCCTCGCCAAGTGGGACCACTCTTGTTTCTGGGCACCATCTCACAAAATACATCACTCTCAATCCTGTGCAGGCTCTGGCACTGGGGATCACTCCCACCCCTCAGGAGGTTCAGAAAATGGAATTCACCACTGCCCCTGTGATACCTCAGACTTCAGGTGTAACACTCACCTCTGAGCAGGCACAGGCTTTGAGGGCTCCTCTTACTCTTGAAAACATTTCAAAAATGAAGTTCCCTTTCATAACAGAGCAGGCACAGGAAGTAGGCACCATAAGAACTCAGGAACAACCTGAAGCATCTAGGGTCCCTATTACCCTCAAACCAGCACAGAAACTAAAGGAATCTCTCATACCAGAAATAACTCAGGCAATTCAGACCCCATCAACATCTAAAAAGTCACAGATATTTGGGGTTCCTATTGCCCAAGGGAAGACTGAGACCCTGAGGATTACTCACACCCCTCAGCAGGCTCAGGACCTGCAGATCCCTCTGACTCCTCAGCAGGCCCAGGACTTAGGGATCCCTCTGACCCCTCAGCAGGCTCAGGCTCAAGGGATCACTCTGACCCCTCAGCAAGCTCAGGCTCAAGGGATCACTCTGACCCCTCAGCAGGCCAAGGACTTAGGGATCCCTCTGACCTCTCAGCAGGTTCAGACTAGAGGGATCACTCTGACCCCTCAACAAGCCCAGGCTCAAGGGATCACTCTGACCCCTCAGCAGGCCAAGGACTTAGGGATCCCTCTGACCCCTCAGCAGGTTCAGGCTCAAGGGATCACTCTGACCTCTCAGGAGGCCCAGGATCTCGGTATCACTTTGGCCCCTCAGCAGGCTCAGGCTCAAGGGATCACTCTCACCCCTCAGCAGAAACAAGCTCAAAGGATCACACTCACTCCTCAGCAAGCTCAGGCATTTGACACCCCTCTGACCTGGCAAAAGCTTGCCACACTGGCTCCTTCTACTCTTAGACCATCTCAGGAATTGAGGGCCTCTTCTACTCAGATGCCCATTACATCAAGATTATCTCAAAGGCCTAGGCTGCCCCTGATATCTGCTCCTCCTATTGAGAAGATCTCTTTACCCAGGGTTTCTTCTCCTTTGCAAAAATTAAGACCTCTTCTCAGCCAAACCCCTTTTACTCCTGGTAAACACTTAGGAATGAGCATTCTTTCTGCTCCTGGAAGACTCCTGAGCCCACAGATCCTTCCTATCTCCAGTCAGATGTTAGTACTTAAAGGTCAAGCCATTCCTACAGAGTCTCTAGCACTAGAGGTTTCTCATCCTGGGCATTGCCCATTGTCTGGGGCCCCTCCCACTACAGAGCAGCCCCTTCAACCAGAGGCCCTAAGCTCTGGTGACTTCTTCGTACTTGGAAACCCTCTGACTCCCTGGCCACCTCTGGGTTCCCAGGCCCCTCTCGCCCTCAGGCCACCTCTTCTATCTAGAGTCCCACCCACCTCTGGACAGATTCCCAGACTCTGGGCTTCCCTGTCTTCTGGGCAGCCCTTAGTTGCTGGAGTATCTTCCATCTGGAGGGAGGAGCTCCTGGAATCTGAAACCTTAACCTTCTCTGCGCAGCCTCAGGGATTCCAGCCTCCTGCCTCCCCTGAGCAGTCTCTACTGACCCCTTCTACCTTCGGACAGCCTCTGGCACCATGGACCTTTCCTGGGCAAGTTTCCCCATTATGGATCCCTCCCACTCCTAGGAATACCTCCACATTGTGGGCTTCCTCAACCTCAGGGAAGCCTCAGAGAGTTTTGTCCTCTTCTGTCACTCAGAAAAGACTGGCAATTGTGTCTTCTCTAAAATCTAGATCAGCAGTGGTCCAGGCAAGGGCTATAGATTTCAAGGTATCTCAAGCTCCTCTCACCACTAAGAAGGTCCAAATATCAGAGCCCCCTGCCACTTATGAAGAAACCCAGATACTCCAAGATACTTGTGTAATGGAACCATTTCAAAGACTTCAGTCATTTCTCACCAATTATAGGACACCAGTTTCACAAGCCCCTTACATTGATGAGGCAGTCCTTCCCACTTTCATGAAGCCTACATCATTACCTTCTCTTATTACTCAGCAACCCAAAATGCCACAGAACTCACCTGAAGGGGACCGGAAATCCCTATTCCCCTCTACAGACCAGCACTCGATACTGACTTCAGTTTCAGGTACCAAGAAACCCATGATGGTTCCTCCTTCCTCTCCTAAAGAGATTTTGGAGAAGAGGTACTTTGTTGATGTGGAGGCTCAGAGGAAGAACCTGGAATTATTAAGTCAGGCCACAAAAACTTCTGGACTCCCATCACAGCAATACACAACAGCTAGGAATCTCATAATTGGAACACTTCATATGGCCACAGTCCGGCTGGGATACGTGCTCCGAAAGTACATTGCCTATAGGCTGATCCAGTGTGCCAGGTAAATGTAATTATTACATGTTTTTTCTTCTTATCCTGCATTGCCTATAAATCTACTCATATTTGTCAGATCATATGCTCTAAAACATCCTCTTATAGAAGGTCTGAAGGATAGAAGCTTGTTTAAAATAGCAAAAGGAGAGGCCGGAGTAGTGGTACACACCTGTAACCCTAGCACTCGAGACTGAGGTAGAAGGGTTGTTTACAAGTTTGAGCCTGGGCTATACAGTGAGTTCATGGCCAGCCTAAACTACATGGTGAGACCTTGTCTCACCCCCCTCCCCCAATAGATAGCAAAAGGAGGATTGTTTTTTATTTTGGGAAATAAGAAATGATACATAACACGATCTATAGCATCCATTTATATCTCCGCTATCTCCAAAATATGAACTTCAGAAGTTCAGTGATGCATCCCAGTTATTCTGAATTTCTTTTGGTTCACCAGAAGACATATGACTTTTTGAATGAGAATGGCAGGTTGTATAAGGTGTTGCCATAGCAACTTTGCTGCTGACCTTGATTTTTTAAAATTGCTAATATGTATCAGAAATGGGTCAAGGTAGGTAACAATTGGCCTGCTATTCTCAACATTTGCATTTGAGGTTACTAATATGTTATTTAGGAGAAATTTGTAAATTAAAAATTACAGGATGCCTAAGTAAAACATAACAGAACAGGTTTTCATTAATTATAGGAATAATATATAATTCATTTAATAAGTATTTGTTGAAAACTTATAATCTGCCAACTATTGTTCTACATGCCAAGGATATAGCAAGGAATAAAACAAAGACCTCTATTCCATAAAATTTATTTATTTAGACAAGGTCTCACTATGTTGTCTAGGCTGTCTTTGTCTTGAGTGCGCTATGTAACCCATGTTAGTTTTAAACTTGTGATCCTCCTGCCTCAGCCTCCTGAGTGCTGGGATTATAAGCATGCTTGAAATATATAGGCTTGAAATTTACATTTTTGGGGACCAAATTCATTTGGAAACAAAGGATTAGAACAAAGTACAAAAGGAAGACCTCTTCAAGCTATAAGTAGAACTTTTAATTTTATTCTTTTTTTTGCGGTACCAGGGATTGAACTCTTTCTGGCCAGCCATGGGCCACCAATGCTAATGAATGTCCATCCAGAAATATTTTCTGCATATGTAGCATAGAACATATGCTTTTATTATTCTTTTAATATATTTTAAAGCTATATGATTTTTATAGCATAACTTAGGTGTTGGGTAAATTATTAAAGGTATATAAAGAATGTACTCATTTGTTGCATAGTTACATAGTATTCCAAAGTCTAGATTTACCAGAATTTATTTAATCTCTGGTGGGTATTAATGTTGTTCAGTATCTTGCTATTATAAAAATAGATTGCCATGAGTAATCTTACATATACATTATAATTTAGAATTTCTGAATCAAAGGGTAAATGCCAAAGAAGTAATAATTTATGTATTGATCAGTATTATGAAAGAATATTTCCCCACATCAAAACTAGCATGTGGTGTTTTGGTTCTTTTGGATTTTTTTGGTACCAGAGATCGAACTCAGGTCCTTGAGCTTGTGAGGCAGGCACCGGAACCACTGAGCTAAATCCCTGGCCCCAGCATGGGGTGTTATTAAACTTTTTTGTTCACTGACAATATGATAGATGAAATACAGCATATAACATTTCTTATTTTATTTTGCATCTCTTTTATCATGTGTAAGGTTAAGCATTTTTCATAGATTTAAGAGCCATCTGTATTTCATTTTCTCTAGAAGATCCTATTCAAATATGTTACATATGTTTTAAATTGGATTGTCAAAATTTTTTAAAAATTAATTATATAACCTATTTAAATATTTGGAAAATTAGCCCCTTGTCTGTAATATAAATTGCTAAATTTCCCCCACTTACATTTTGATTCTTTTTGTAACACTGATTTGCAGAAAGCTTTGATTTGTATATCTTTAAGCACACCAATGTTCTAAATAATTCATTGTGCTTTCTCTGAAAGTCCCTCTCTGAAATACATTTTTTAAATTCTTTCTTGAGGGCTGGGGATTTAGCTCAGTGGTTCCGGCGCCTGCCTTGCAAGTACACGGTCCCAAGTTCGATCCTCAGTACCAAAAAAAAAAAAAAAAAATTCTTTCTTGAGCTGAGTGTGGTAGCACATGCCTGTAATCTCAGCACCCAGGAGGCTGAGGCAGGTGGATCACTATGAGTTTAAGGCCAGCCTGGGTTACATAGTGAGTTCAGGACCAGCCTAAACTACATAGTAAGACCCTGTCCCCCAAAATAAATAAACTAAAAAAAAATTAAAAATAAAAATTCTAGGTTTCTTTTAGTATTTTAAGTTCAGTTACTAGTTTTTGTTGTGATTCACAACTTGCTGTTACGAGATAAATACCTCATTTTTTTTTTTAACATGACTACTTAGTTGTATGGTCACTATTTACAAGGCCAGTCTAGGTTACATAGTGAGTTCAGGATCAGCCTCAACTACGTAGTGGGACCCTGTCTCAAAAGAAAAAAAGATCTGGTTTGATACCTTTCTTTTTTTTTTTTTTTGATACCTTTTTATAAAGCCTTCTGTATTACTTTTTTTTTTTTTGCGGTACCAGGGATTGAACTCAGGAGCTGGTGCTTGTGAGGCAGGCACAATGCTGCTAAGCTAAATCCCCAGGCCTCCTTTATTACTCTTTTTTGAACTAATTATGCTTTTTCTTTTACTCATACTGCATGTTTATATTTCTTTATTTATTAATCTTGTATTCTGGATTATAAATGTTCCAAAGGCAAGGATAGTCTTTTTCATAATTCCATGGGTCCTATACATACCAATATTTTAAAAATTAAGTATTTTGTCCCCTAAGATAATTTTATCACCAATCAGCATATTTGAATTTTTAATAAAATAATAATTAATCAACACTATTGTAACACTAAAAAAAGTGAAGTGTTCTAATTTGGTAGATTATTAGAAGTTTATTCATATAGAGAACTAGCATAAAGTCTCATTAAATATCCTTCCCATCTCCTTCCTCGTTACTTACTAGGGATGAGATGGGAATAGAAAGAAACTGAGGGCAAGTTTGCTGAGCCAGACTCAGTAATTGTATCAATCTAACTCTTGTCAATTTTTTAAAGAAATAACATAATGAAACGATTAAAAGCCAGCCAAAACACTGGGAAAGGTTATGAGACCCAGAACCTCTACATCATGCTAAGCAGAATTGATGATTATCAGAAAAGGGTGATGGGGATCTGGACCGAAAAGCAGAAGTCTTTAGAGCAGAAACGAAATCAATGCCTGAAGAAAATGATGCGCTTATTTAGCCAGGTAACCTGTTTTCAATTCTCTCTCTCTAGTGTGTTGTAAAAAATAAATAAAAATGGTAAACTTTGAAACTACTTTTACCTGAAGGAGACTATTTATATATTAGTGTCCTAGGGCTGCTATAACACAATTACCACAAATTTGATTTAAAACTACATACTTTCTGGAGAAGGAAAGGAGATCTAGGGATGGAGATGGGAGGAAGGAGAGGGGAAGGGGAAGTAAAAAGGATCAAGATGTATATGTATATACACCAGTTTCCCAGATTGAATGTATTTATTATATATCATAAATACATACTAGTAAAAAGGGAAAAATAAAAAATAAATGTAGTTTCATAAATGAAAAAACCCTACAGAAATTGACTTTCTCATAGTTTTAGAGGCCAGAGTTCATGCAATCAAAGTGTCTCAGGATTGGTTCTTCCTGGAAGCTCTGAGAAATCTGTTCCATGCCTCTCTCCTGGGCTGTATGGCTGTCAGCAATTGTTGGCATTCCTTAGTTTGTAGCCATATTACTCCAGTCTCTGTCTTCAAGTGGCCTTCTTCCCTGTGTGTCTTGTGTCTTGTATCAATCTTTCTCTCTCTCTCTCTCTCTCTCTCTCTCTCTCTCTCTCTCTCTCTCTC